TTGAACAGCTTTCCAGAGAAGACAGACAAATGGCCAATAAGCACATGAAAAAATGCTCACAATCATTAGCCATTAGGGAAATGCAAACAAAACCACAATGAGATACATTCCACTTCACACTAAGACAGCTAAAAGCAAAGTATTGGTGAGGATATGGAAAAGCTGGAACATTCATACATTGCTACTGGGGATGTAAAATGGTGCAGCCACTGTGACAAACAGTTCAGCAGTTACTAAAATTATTAAACATACATTAAAAAAAATAAAAATAAACATATTTACCCCATAAGACAACAAGTCCACTCATAGATATATACCCAAGAGAACTGAAAACGTATGTTCACACAAAAACTTGTATAGAGGCACAACAACGCACTCCTAATAGCTAAAAAGTGAAAACTGCTTAAACGTCCATCAACTGACAAATGGGTAAACAAAATGTGGTAGAGCTCTAGAATGAAATACTATTCAGTCTTAAAAAGAGGAACTTTTAATACATGCTATGACATGGATGAACCATGAAGACATCATTCTAAGCCAAAGAAGTGAGGTGCAAAAGGCCACATATTTTATGATTTCACTTATAAGAAATACCTAGAATACGTAAATCCATAGAAACTGAAAGTAGATTAGTGGTTTCTTAGGACAGGGAAGCGGAGAAGGCAGTGGCACCCCACTCCAGTACTCTTGCCTGGAAAAATCCATGGACAGAGGAGCCTGGTAGGCTGCAGTCCATGGGGTCGGACAGGACTGAGCAACTTCACTTTCACTTTTCACTTTTATGCATTGGAGAAGGAAATGGCAACCCACTCCAGTGTTCTTGCCTGGAGAACCCCAGGGATGGAGTCGCACAGAGTCGGACACGACTGAAGTGACTTAGCAGCAGTAGCAGCAGGACAGGGGAGAGAATGGGGAGGTGGGAAATGGGACTGCTTGCTAAAGGATGTAACATTTCTTTTAGGAGGATGAAAATGTCTTAAACTTTTATTATTGTGATAGTTAAATATATTTAAAAGACTAAACTGTATATACTTTAAAGCGGTGAATTGTATGGTTATGTGAATTATATCCCAATAAAGCTGGTTGCTATTATTTTTTAAACCAAAAAAAAAAAAAAACAGAACTGTAAAGACCTTCTTAAGATTTATTTAGTTTAATGCTTCCTTAACCAAACTATACAGACAAGGTAAGGCAGCTAACTTCTCTATCACATATACACACATATAAAACCTGTGGGTCCTCACAGTCATAGGCACTCAAGTAACTATTAAATAATTCATTCTATTTTTTTCATCAACTCAGGCTAGATGGACTAAATGGACAAAGGAGGGACTATTGGCCATAGAGAAAGATAAAGACACTCACTAGGATTCATGTCCCTTACAGGAAGGGGAGGCAAATGCCACACACAGAGGGAGGCACCCCCTTTCCCCAAATATGCTTGAGAATGTTCATGAAAACTGACTATGTAATAGGCCACAAATAAAATTTTTAAAAATTTCAAAAAGCAAAAATCACACAGTATTCTCTAATTATAGTATGATAAAAATATGAATTACTAACCAAGTCAGAAAATGAAGAATTTCTAGAAAACATAAAAATAGAAATCACATGTCAGAACTAATAGATACAGCTAAAACCAGGTAAAAGGACAGCAATATATTAAATGCCAAAAAAGGAACAAAATGAATGAAACAAAAAAGAAGAAAATAAAAGATAAAATCCAAAAATAATCAACAGGAAAATAATAAAACAGTAGAACACATAGGTAATCTAGAAACTGGGTTTTTGCGTGCATGTGTGTGAAAAAAACTAAAATAATGAAAAATAAATAAATGAATAAACTACTAGCTAATATAATGAAGAGGATAAAGTACAAAAGTACAAAAAAAGAGGAAAAGTACAAAAAGTACAAAAAAAAGAGGAAAAGTACAAAATTGGGATTGTTTGTAATGGCAAAGACTGGAATGTCCAAAATGATTAAATATAGTACATTCATAAAAGGAAACTGCTGCTAAATTGAAAAGAAAGTAACAATAGAAGTCTTTACTATTGATACGAAAGATTTCCAAGTGATACTATTCAGTGAAATAGTAAAATTTGGAAGAATAAGTACAATAAGTTGCTCCTGTGTAAAAAACAGGAGATATAAGAATGTTGGCATGTTCTGCACATGCAAAAGACATTTTGGAAGGATACACAATAATCAAGACAGTGGCTTCCTACTGGGAGGAGAGTAGATGCGGAGACAAGGATAAAGACACTCTTTAGCACAAGGTTTTTCCCTTCAGTGTTTTGAGTCCTATGAATGCATTTACTTATTTTTTAACAAAAATTTTAATTTGCATATGACAAATATTAATTCATCAAATATTTTCAAGCACTTACTGTGTACCAAATACTATACTTGATGTTGGGGAGGTTCAAAATGAAAAGATCTAGTCCTCTTTTAAAGGCCCCGTATTTTTAGTTTCATAGGAATACAGGCAGCAAACCAACATTGGGCTGTAACTAATATGCCTAATGTGATGTGCCAAATTCTTCATGTGTGTGAAGACACTGTTGAAAGTCTATAAAAGAGCACCTATATATACATAAGGAAAATAAGGATGGTTGTTCAGAGAAGATAATTCTTATCCTAAGAGTTCAAGATTAAGTCAGAAGTTTTCAGTAAATAAAAACAGGATATCCCAGACAGAGCAGAAAGCAGAGGCTTGCAAGTAGAGAGCAAAGGGTTTTCAAGAAATCATTACAGAGCAGGATTTTGCAAGACGAAGAATAGCTAGAAGGAAGACTGAAGAAGCTGAAAAGGGGCTAGATAAGAAATAGCATTAAATACCATATTACACAAGTTTATCACCTTCTGTCTGTGAGGCATTGTGCTCAGTGCTGAAAAAAAAGAAGTAAAAATGCCTCCCTCCTGCGGCTTAATCTAGACAACAATGTCCGGGGAAGACAAGAAAGAGGTCTCTGCAGTAGTCTGCTGTGTGACCTTCCCTGTCTCTGGCTCCGCACACAATGTTGCCTCTATCAGAAATGCTCTCGACACTTCCTCTCCTCACCCATTCCTCGCCTCACTCACTCCTTTCCCAGGAACTGGATTAAATGACCCCTGTTCCAGGCAGCCTTCTCTGACTCCTGAGACTAAATCTATCAGTTCCTCTGTTACATACTCCAAAACGCGCTGGGATTCTTCTGGTCAACTGCACTTGGAATTCTCTCTCTTCCTCTGCAAACTGTAAGCTGCACGGATACAAGAGTTGAATCTGTCTTGTTCACTACTGTACCTCCAGCACTAATCACAGTATAGAGTAGATCTTTAGTGAAGGAATAAATTTTAGAACATAATTTTAACTTTCCTGATCACTCAAGCTGACTGTAAGAAACCTAAATTATTATATTTTTATATTTCAGATATATAAGACAAAGTGGTCTCTTCCTCATGGCTCCAAAAGGCCATGCATTTTAAGTACATATATCTTTATTTTTTCTCTCCTCTCAGACCATAAACTGTCACTTCCTACTACTTTCAAGTCTGTTTCTAACAGATTCCAACTACTTCTAGTTTGTGGCTAACTGCTGAGCTAACCAGACAAATCCAGTAACAAAGAATGTAACTGGCATAAGACCAAGTAAGAGTATATATATATAGATTTTCAGTCTTCTCCATGGACAGGGAAGTGGGATGGAATGAGGATAGAGGGAGACAAAATGCTCTTTTATAAATAAACTACTTAATATCACTGCATAATTCTTTTGTTAAAAAAGCCTTTTATTTTGGCTTAATTTTCTTCATTCTATGCTAGAAGTTCAGATAATTGTTACTATGTGTTTATTCATTCACATAAACAGTTGAAAAGAAAAAAGTAAACATTCCATTGCAAACATAAAAAAGAACCACTTTTTAAACATGGTCCAAAATATTAAGGCAAAAACTATTTGAAATTTTGAGTTTGAAAGCAGAATGTGTCTGACAATCAGAAACCTTATAAGTAACCAGCAATATTATTTTCTTAGTTGTTCATGAAATAATGGTGCACCTCGTAAATGATGGCACCTCAGATTTGATGAAATGTAGTATATAATTTTACATAGTAAAAGTAATTCATCTAAGATTTTCTCAATTAGATAATTCTGAATTACTACTCACTACATTAGCACATCCTATCTCCCTTGCCCCAATAAAATGAAAAACCAAATGCTCATATTAAGGCTGCTGACAGGGATAAAAACCAATATAAATGAAAAAAGTAGTGATTTGGTTTCACTGAGAAATGTTACCAATCAGAGACCAACAAACGAACCAAATTAAAATTTTGCTTAAGAAATCTTTAGTGAAATCCCACAGAATCTTTCTGGGGGAAGTATCTATATTACCTGTGATGTATGTAATCATCGTAACAGTTAACAAAATCCTGTAATTATTCCCTATTGAATAAACAGAAGTAGATCTTCTCCAAGTTCCTAAAGTCAACAGCCTATGACCTGCTATGGTCCTAAAATATGGGGGTGAAGTAGAGGCTTTACCTTAGTTTAAGAGAGCATTAGAACTCTCTATCAGCATTACGAAACAGAATACACCTCCTGAATTACTAGCAACATAATCACCAATGTGACTTTCAAGTCCAAACCAGCATAATGACCAAAAAAAACCTTGAAAATTTTCATTTAAACACAACACTTAAGAACTAGATACAATCAATTTATTCTGATCTTTCCACAAAATAAAAACTCTCCAAAAAAAAAAAAATACTATTTATTTTTTCTCCTCAGAGGAGAAGCTGTAAATAAATTGCTTCTAGCAATGATTAAGTTATTATTAAGTACCTATTGTTCTTAAAATAACAGGAAAGCGTCAGACGGAATATTTCCACTAGAGTTCATGAACAAAAATCAGTGAGAAGTTAAGTTCTAGAAAATATGCTAACAACAATGATAATAACTTCCGTTGACAAGGAAGACACTAAGAATTACTTTTCCTTTTTTCTTTTTAAACCTACCTTTGTCTGGGAACTATAAAGAGCGCCCGTACCAACTTCTTCCTATTTGCTTTCGTGTTCATGTTCATGCAAAAGTCCATCGCTGCCTAAAGGAGAAAAAGCAAACTTTTTTCTTAAAAAAAAAAAAAAAAAAAAAAACTCAATTTACCTACTAAAACAGTATGCTAAAATGGATTCCTAACAGTTCCTAAACAGTTCACAATGGTTTTAAGACACTAGTATTACAAGGATATTCCAAACTTTAACCATCATCAAGCTTAAGCTCTTTCCTTATATATCTCAAAACATATTTCACAAACATTAACTGCAATCTAGTGCTAAAAACAGAACTTCCAGTGGGTAGATTGAAGACCTATGGTGACATGTTTGGCAAATAATTGCATGAAATGTGCAACCCATGCTTTTGATCTCATAGATCAATGTTAATATCAGGAAAGCTTTATGATAGAAGTTGCAAAGTAGCAAGAAGCCAGGAACCAAGAAAATTATTAATGCTAATAAGGATTAAAAAAGAATATAGACAAACCAGGTATGAGAGATAGACACAGATTATAACCAGAAACATTTAAAAGTGCTTCAACACCAACTAAAATGGTTTACTGTTGACAATCAGATATAGTAACAAACTAAAGAAACCACATCATAGGACTATAATTGTTATTTAGTATAGCAATCCACTATTCTATATTTTAATAACAAAAATGTGTCCAATATTTTATAAATATATCTAAAATCTAATGTAAGTGTAGAAGAAAAGCTGGGAGAAGTATATGGTCTGGGAACCCACTAGAAAACACAATTATGAGTAATTAGTATTTTTTAAATACAGGTATATATATTATTTAAATATTAAAGATTTTCAATATACATAGTTTATGAAAACATTTAAGATGACTTTAAAAAGAAAATAACTATTATCAAATAACCCTATTGGGTATCACCAGTATTTTCCTTCTATAGCATCACATAATTATTTTATCATTAATTTCTCAACTTTTAGGTAGATTTGAGGATCAAATACAAAGATTCTCTGGTGGCTCAGAGGGTAAAGAGTCTGCCTGCAATGTGGGAGACCCAGGTTCGATCCCTGGATTGGGAAGATCCCCTGGAGAAGGAAATGGCACCCCACTCCAGTACTCTTGCCTGGAGAATCCCCATGGACAGAGGAGTCCGGTGGGCAACAGCCCACAGGGTCGCAAAGAGTTGGACACAACTGAGCAATTTCACTTTTCTTTCTTTCTACAAAGATTCTCTGATTTCCCTATAAGGGATGTCAACTCTTCAGCGACACACTCACTGAAACAATTTGCTAAAAACTTTTGATGAAATAAAACCCAATTAATGTTGATTAGATTCAAACCCAGTAAACGCACATTGAAAGTATTCACCAAGACTGAATTAGTCAACAGTAAAACCAATTTAAACTTTTTCTTCTGCTTGTAAAGGGAGTATAATAAATTTTATTAAAATTTATATTCTATAACATTAAAGCTTTTTACAGCTAATTAGAATAACAAACAGAAAAGCTGAAAGCACACTAAAATTCCTTCAAGTAAATCACCCACATGAAATACTGAAAAATTGTGGACTAGGATAATGAAAACCCCAAAGGTCATCCACTCAGAAAAAAAACTGGTTAACACTAGAAAATGTCACACACACACACACACAGACACACACACACACACCTCTCAAGTCAACATTTTTTGAAAAATAAAAAGAAAAAATAAAGAAAACATTTAATGGCTAATAATGGACTAGGTTTCAACAAAAATTAGGAAATTGGCAACTACTATCTACTGGCAGTAAATACTTTTGTTTCCCTTGAAGTGAGAGAATCATTCTGTTCATGTTAGAAAAATGTCTGTTAAATACCCAAGTCTGAATAACCATGGTTCATCCCTCAATTCTTTCAAGTAAAAATGGTACTCTCTATAAAAAGCAGCAGTTTAGCTCGCAACTCAATCATACAAATGGCTTTGCTCAAAGCAACCTTGAGTCAGTAGACACACTTTATACATCCTTTTCATTTTATCAAGTTAAAAGGAAGTGTACTCAGAGGTTGAAATGAAACAAAATCACTAATTTTTATAGATTCATCAAAGAGATCTTTAAGTTAAAGTGACATTGTTTCTTAATTGCAAATGCACAGCAATGAAGACTACAAGGGCTACTATTAGAGTCTGCTACCAATGCAGCTTGACTTCACATTAAAATGCCAGGTTTACACATCATCACTTTTGCAAATGTCAAAAACAGTGAAAAGGTGGGGGGAAAACTCCCAGTATTAGTATGAAAAGAGTTTTGACTTTATAGACACCCTGAAAGTACCTGAAAAGACACCAGGAATCTACAGAGAGTACTTTAAAAACATCTGATCTAACACAGTATTTTTCACACTGTGGCAGTATGTGAAGGGAAGAAGTGTCAAGTCTACAGGATTCTAGAGCGTCCCACCCCCAAACACAGTATCTACAAATTGGCTCCAACTGTGTTCATTCTGAATTCCTATATTAGATTCCATTTGAAGAAATGGTTCATTCTACAGCCAAAACTGCAAAAACCACAGACATTGCTAATTTGAGCTATCCTACGTGCTTTGAGTAAAGTTACACAGAGGCACTCATACCTTGTCTATCAGATCACGGTTGACACAGTTGGGTAATTGCTGGAGGAAAGCATCTACTATGAGCTTGAGATGAGATCCAGTGCTGGCTTCTTCATCCTCTTGTTCTAATATGAAATTGGATTTTAAGTAGGTTCAGAAATATACAAAGACAATGTAAGAATAAAAACATCTAATAAGATGTTATCTGAGGCACAGATAATCTAAAGCACTTTTCTTACGAAAAATGAAGCACTTTTCAGATATTACCCTTGAAAGAAAGGGTATCTTTAGAATCATAAGCCTAAATCACTAGTCTTTATCAACTATAAAAGGGCAAACTTTTACATGAGAAGTCATAAGTTACATGTAGTTTTAAGAGCAGATCTACTATTTTTATCTGTTGAACATCCACTTTCCCATGTCTTCAATTAACAATGTGATCACTGCTTGCCCTCAAAGGCAATCCATGGGATTCTGATGGGAAAGGTGCCGCCCAAGCACAGATACCATTCCTCCTCTCGCCACAGGCAAGCATGACACAGGACTAGCCAACTCCTTTCAAGATATTTATATACAGACAGTGGGGGAGAATCCCTCTTTTTCTCAGATGTCACTAGCTGGTCTGAGCCGAGGGCACCCTCCAGCCATGCCTCCCTCCCTCCAAGACGTGCAGAGCTAGAGAATCTGCAGTAGGAAACAATGAAGCCCACAAAGAAAGGCAACCCTGACAAAGGCATTCTCCTAATAAAGAATCCTAATAAAGAAACTTGACAGAAGTATTCAGGAAATAATTAACTGATATTTTTATTACTAAATACAAAACATTACTCAATAGTAAAGACGGATAAAAGTGACAGATGAACTGATATACCAATTGTCTTTATATCTCTCAACTTTCAAATGCATTTATGTTAAGATTGTAAAGATTATATCAGAAATAAAATACATTAAGGACAATGCTAAAAGTACTGAAGTGCAAGAAATATTAAGATTTAGATTATCACTAAAGTTTGTAGTCACATAATATAGGACATGTAGTATTTCTGTTCCAAATCAAATTCCAAAAAAGTGAGGGCCTAGAAACAACAGGAAAACAAGGAATTAAAGAGTAAAGACCCATATTCACAGGCAAGAGCTTTGTGTATAAACGCTAAACAAAAGTCAGGAATTCCCTGGCAATTCATTGGTTAGGACTCTGCATTCTCATTGCCTAGGGCCTGAGTTCAATCCCTGGTCAGGGAACTAACATCCCGCAAGTCGCATGGCATAGCCAAAAAATAAATAAAACATTTTTTTAAAAAACTTATCAAAAATTAAAATTTTTGGCAAAAGTATTTACCTTGCTCATCAAGAAGTTTCTTTGTAAGATCTTCAGCTTCATCTCCACCCTCTAGCTCCAATGTGTCATCATTAATTTCCAGGTTCTCCAACTCAAGCTCCAAATCATCAGGACTTGATACCTCTTTATTATCCTTAGGTTCCTTTGTTTCTGTTTGAGATCAAAGAATCAGTATCTCTGAATTAAAAGTCATATTGAAATCCTGCTTGCAAAAAAATAAATATTCACAAAATCTGCAACATTTTTCTTAGAATCCACATTTATATCTGGCAAATTTGATGCTTAAATTCTTAAAAATACATTATGCTCACGGAGGACAAAAACCATAATTTCTTTGTGCATGCCATCTGTTCAGTGAAGAAATGAATGGATGGATGGACTGATGAATAGAGACATACAGGCCATAAGGATTTGTGGTAATGTTGAGCAGAAAATAAATCTGATTAGATAAAGTGGACTCAAATTAATTAAGATGCCCATATTATTCTGTCATTCATTTAATCTAGTGACTTAATGTTCATATAACAAAACTAGTAAGTAAAAAAATTTTTTTTACAAATATTATTTTGAAACTAAAATTTATAACACTTTAATATAAAAATTTGTCCTCTAGCATTTACCTTTGGAATCATCTTTGCTGGACTCTTTATTCTGACAACTTTTTTCATTATCTTTAAACAAGATGGCTGGAACAAAAGCTTTCAAATCAATGAGGTTCTCGTAAAAATTCCGAGCATCTTCATCTTCCCATATACCACCTTCTAAGTCATATTCTCCAGGTTTACCAGGTGTAAATATATCAATTCCAGGCCCATGCTCTACAGTAAAATAAATCACAGGGAATTAAAACCAACGAATCTTGAATGTTTCAATTAACAGATACTTCTTCAGTCAATAAGCACTTTTGATTATGCATGTAACCATCTTTACCAGAAAATCAAATTCTGTTTTAAGTAAAGCTCTAAACCAGAACAGATCAAAGAAAAGTACAGGATAAACATGCTTTTCTCTTGAAGTTTTAAGCAATTGATATGAGATTAAGTAGCTATTTGATATATTAAGCCCATCTTCACAAAGCTTAAAACCAACGTAAGAAATACATAAGCCTGGCAATTCCTAAACATTTAGCTTGAAGTCCCACCTTTGCCGTGAAGCATCTTTTTTTAATACTCCCAACACCCTGTATGATTTTATCTCAATTATGTTCGCAAGTTTATGGTTTATCTTACCATAAACCCTTAAGAAGCATCCCTCCTTTTGGTATTACACTTGGTATAAAACAGATTGCCATAAATGGCCAACTGATAAATAACTAGAAACGAAGGGAAGGAATGATGAAGACATATACACATATTTCAGTAGGGAGTGGAAAACCATGTGTTTGTACCCACACACACAGTCTACATTTGCATACAACTATAGATGCTTAAAACTCAGAACATTAAAAGCAATTTCCTACTTCATGATCACAAGACCATTCATGATTTTATCTATTCTCACTGTACTTCCCTCCAAACTAGAATTATAAGAGAATGATCATGCAGATTAAAAATAACCCTGAGGAAAAATTATTCATTAAAAGTCATTTAGGAAGAACAGGACAAAAACAATAAAGTACTGGCTCTCTAACTCATTACTCACATGCCTTACAAAAAAACATATTTAAACACAGGACACTGAACCAATATAAGAGAAAAGACTGATAAATTTAATTTCTTTTTAACAAAAACATAAATAAGAGCAGGGAATTTCCTGGCGATCCAGCAGTCAGGGCTCCGAGCTTTCACTGCCAAGGGCTCAGGTTCAACCCCTGGTTGGGGAACTAAGATCCCATAAGCTATGCTGTGTGGCCAAAAAAAAAAAAAAAAGAAAAGGACAAACCAGAAGACAATACTGGCAATATTTATACAAAGGAGTTAATATCCATAATATAAAGAGCTTCTGCAAATAAAGTCCAAAATCTCAATAGAAAAAAATGGATAAAGCCTCTGAACAGATAAGTCAAAGAGTATATGAAAAGATCCTAACCTCAGTACTAATCAGGATAATGCTAAATAAAACAAGCATTTATTACTTTGACCCATTAGATTATGTTTAAAAGACTGATATCACCAAAGTAGAAAAATTACCAAAGGTATAGAGATCAATCAATCAATTAAATAAATGCAGAAGTGATATAAATGATATAACTAAGACAAGGACATTAAAACAGTTATTACAACTATATTTCACATTCTCAATAAGCTAGAAGATACACTAAGCATACTGGAGACCATGGAAAACATAACTAGCTTCTACATCTCTACATGAGAGTATCATATACCATAAAAGGAAAAAAGAGTGATTTGGAAGACATAGCAATAGAAACTAACCAATACTAAACAGGGCAGAAAAAAAATACTAAAGCACAGAGAAGACAACTTCAAACGTAGTGGTATTTGAATTCCCATAGAAGGGGAGACAGGAATAGAAAACATATTTGAAGAAATAAGGTCAAGATTTGAGAAATTTGATAATTATAAACCCAGATTCAAGAAGCCCAACAAACCCCAAGCACAAGAAACGTGAAGTAAACCACACCAAGCCAGTATCATAATTAAGTTCTTTAAGATCAGTGATAATGATATTTTAAAACAATCAGAAAAAAAGTACACATCATTTTAAAAAGAACAAAGATACGAATGATAGCAGCTTTCTCACTGCAAACAATGAAAGATAGAAGACAGTGGAACAACATCTTTAAATACTGAAAGAAAAAAAAAAACCTCATCCTAAAATTCTGTATCAAGTGAAAATATCTTTTTAAAATGATGGCAGAATTCTGTTAATTTTGTTGCATAGCATTTACATTTATACTGTAGTAGGTATTATAAGTAACCTACAGATGATTTAATGTATATGGGAAGATGTGTGCAGGTTATATGCAAATCCTAAGCCATTTTATGAGGGACTTGAGCATCCTCAGAGGTCCTGGAACCAGCTCCCTGAAGATACCAAGGAAGGACTATAAATGTTTTCATAGTATACAATGGATATTTTCTTATTGAGGACGTAAAATACAAAATACCTTCCTGTATTATAAAGGGACACTTTACAAATACTTCACTCTTAAGATTTTTAAGTAAATAGGATTTTCAGATAGTTTTAAAATTAATAATGTATTAACATTTACCAACTTACTTCTCAAGTAGTTGGTATAATATATTACAGTAATGGGTTAGGAGCCCTAACAAAAAGGAAGTTTAAAACCTTTGCAATAATATGAGAAATAACTCATTTTACAAAATGATAAGTTTATCTTATAAAACTGCAAGGTAGGCTTTAGTTCTAAGTAACAATTTATGATAATACACCATTCAAAACAATTAAAAATAAAAATAAACATAGAAATATTAGTATCCCAAAGGTCCAATCCACCTTATTACCTGAGAAATACCATAAATTTTTATATAGTCCCAAATACGGTTTAAGACAGGCCCTGTTAGATACAATCTAAGGATATCTATTACAAAAGAACCTAAAGAAACCCATCATATCATTATGAGTTAGGCTTCACTGCTCTAAGCACAAAGACTTTTCCATTCAGAGAAGCATTTTAAGTAGCTTTCCAAGGTTTTTATTAGGTCTTAATACTACTTCATTAAAAAAATTTTAAAGGCATTTCAAAACATCCAATTTCAATAATATACATCTGAGAAGACTAGAGAGATAGAAGTGATTAGTGCTTACTAAAAAAAAAAAAAATCACAGTGTTTGTTTTTAAGGATATCTTACCTTCTGGTGTTGGTTTATCTTGAGGAAGATCTGGCATATTTTCATCCAAAAGGTCTGCTAAGGATTGAGAATTTGCCAATAGCTTTTGATAAGACATAGCAAATTCTTCATACTGTTTATGTCTATCTTCACTTAACTCCCCTTTAGAATGTAGAATACGCCTATAAACAAATGATGAAATAATCTGACAATCTTATCAAAACAGATGTGATCATCTATTATTATACTGGGAATGTTCTGTAAAATCTGATATTTTCAAACAAGATTAGCACAACCTTCTTTAATAACCTATGTTTAATACTTAACACAAGATGTATCTGAAAATCAAAACTTACATCATCAAATTCACCTAAACAAACACATTTTGTAAGTAATTAAGATTTAACATTGGTTCTTCAGAAAATATGAAGTGTGATTAATAAGTATGCCTGGAGAAATACAAAATTTAACAGTATACCACTAATCAACTTTTAGTATTTTGTTACAGTCATATACCCCAGATATACAAGTTGGTTTTCAAAAACAGGTTAGAGACTCAGTACCTTTAAACTTTCACAATGATTTGATTCAAGATTATCTTGAAATAGACTGCATCTTCCCTACAGTGAATTCTCAATCTACTATGCAAGCACTTTTAGTCATTTAACAAATATCACGGGAGCAACCCACTTAATCAAGGACAGGCCACTCTGAGGAGCAGAGGACACAAGTATTCTTCTACTCTGCAACAGTTCATTAATAAGCCACCCCCAGTTATTAACAGAAATGTAAAAGCAATGAAAATCTTCAATTGTACAGTCAAGTAAAAATTTTACTATATTAGCTTAGATGGTTGAAATGTCTATAAGTGGACTCAATTTTTCTACAACTAAATATGTAGTAGTGTAAGACATGAAATTTATAAACCTTAATGCAAATACAATACGGATTTCAAAAAGTCAATTATAAATTGTAAATTGAGTCATTTTCAAAAGTAATATATAAAAGTACTCTTAATCCTTGAGTTTTCTTCTGAACAGAGAAGAAAATAAGTTAGATGGGTTTTTTTTGTGTTGTCATTTTCTTAAAAGTTATATAAAATTAAGTTTTCATGAAGAAAAAATCCTTGCCTACACTTAATTATCTCTGCTTATTTGGAACGTTTCTAAACTTCCCCATCTTCCCCCTTTCTTATCAACAAGAACTGAGAATTTTTCACTCATTTTCTTATGATTTAAATACACACTAGACAATATCATTTTACAAACAAATCAGTAAAATGCCAAGACAGTTTAACCATAATAATCCAGGCCAAACAGTATTCCTCTAATAACACTGTCATTAAAGAACAATTTCTCTCTTCAAATATTTATTTCAAACTAACTTTCCTTTCATTAAGCTTTACGAATGAATTTTTTTAAATTAAAACAAAAACTCAAGCATTTAAAAATATTCAAGCCATGAAAAATGACTGATATTACTTCAAATGAGCTTGGTAGAACTTTTAATTAGAAGTCACATCATTTTTCAAGTTAAAAAAGCCATTAAAATTAAATAAATGATTTGAATAAATTATACTCAAAAGCAGGCTACTCTAGAATGTTCTACAATTAGGAGAAATATTAATAAAAATTTTTAAAGTTTATTCAGAAGCAAATTATCTTAAAAGGGATACAAGTTCCAAGGAATTTCAAAACCTCTAATGACAACAAAGATTCAAAATTATTTCAGTGCTTAAAACAAAATTGAAAACTATCTCAAAATACCATAACATGGAACTTTACTTCTCTAATAATTTGGCATTCTGGTCATTTGAAGAAAACACATCCAGTTTAGGTTATACAATATTCACTAAAGATTTATGACATAAAAGCTGTAGCAAGATGGTGTCTATTTTATCAAAACAGAAAGTGAACACTTTTTTCCGTATCAACCTCACTTTGAAACTTTGGCCTGGACCTTGCATTCAGTCAATTAAATGACTGAATTCTATGAGGGGTCCCTATGTGTGCATTCAGCTCCTATCCAGTCCTCACGCGCGCGCATGCACACAGTCACGTCTCTTTGCAGCTCCAAGGACTGTAGCCTGCCCGGCTCCTCTGTCCACAGAATTTTCCAGGCAAGAATACTGAAGTGGGTTGCCATTTCCTTCTCCAGGGGATCTTCCCGAGCCAGGGATGGAACCCACATCTCTTGCGTCTCCTGCACTGGCAGAGAGATTCTCTTCCAGTCCTCCTGCAACCAGTTAAAACTCTGAAGCTCCGGAGATACTCCTCGCTCTCCTCAAAACCTCAATTCCATGATTAAACTTTTAATAATACTAATTTACTTAACTACTTAATTCACACATGTTTAGGTTACTGTCTAATAAGAACAGTCCTAGAGGGCAGGGGGGCTTAGGTTTTGGTTGATTTTCTAATAGAACCTTACAGTGTACAGTCAGAAAGCAGTATAGGACAACAATGAAAAGGCATTAGAAGAGATCCATTATATACAAAACATACAGTGTCATATGTATTTTCCTTGACCATTTATTTAAAATATATTTCCTTAATATCTAATTCCACAGCATGTAGTAAGACTACAAACTTCAAACAGAGAAAGAAGCCATCGCAGGTGCCTGAAAATTCAAAATCCCTAGTCATTCTAGAAGTTCTAAAGAAATTTAAATGAAACAATTTCTAATGAATGTACTATATAAGTCAGTTCTTATAAGTTTATGAAGTCCACAGGAAATTTTTTCAGTTTGATTAAATTTTAGAAGGCCTGTATGAGGGAAATACACATACACAGCACATCTGACCAGAGTACATTTTCTGTATATCAGTGTAAATCTCACCAAAATTTCTCATGTGAATTCAAATTCCATGAGAATATAACACTAAGCAAAATCAAGCTGAAAATATGGTTCATAATGTATCATTTTAATTACAATCTCTTAGATCTATTACAGAAAGTTGCACTGAAACCATTCTTTTGAGGCTGTCATAAATCAGAGGTCAGCAAACTTTCTGCAAAGGGACAAATAATAATTTTAAGCTTTGCAGACCATATGGTCTTTGCTGCAATTACTCAAGTCTGATGGCATAGCACAAAAGCAGCACAGACAATATGTAAACAAATGAGTGTGGCTATGTTCCAATAAAACTTTATTTATGGACACTGAAATTTGAACATCATGTTATTACTAATCTGGCCTGAAAGCCATAGTTTGCCAATCCTTGTCATAACTGGAGATAACCAAGTACAACTGTTAAATATATTATAAACAAGTTCATTCCCTCTCCTGGTTTCACTGCATGATAGGGAGGAACTGGTACTATTTTAAAGATATGAAAAGCAAGCAATGAAAACAAAATTAATTCCAAGTCTTATTCACTGTAAAAAAAAAGAAAGTAGATGTCTTGCACCTAAAATATGAGATATCACTATCTGGGAGCACCTCTAAGGTACATCAGTCCTTGATTTCTGGAGTGTTTTTTATATTAAACATTAATTTAATATTGTAAATCTGACTATCTCAAATAGTCCATTCTGGAATCAAGCAATATATCTCATAAGGAAAGCCACATATGCCTCAAAAAATTCTTATATTGAGACATTCATTTTTTTCCATTTTAAAAATTTGTATTGTTATTGCCTGGCATTCATGCTACTTCTTTTATTTTGTACAGTGTTTATTCTGTTGCTTTATATTGTTTTTAAAAATGAATTTTGGGGGATCGGGATGGGGAATACATGTAAATCCATGGCTAATTCATGTCAATGTATGACAAAAACCACTACAATATTGTATAGTAGTTAGCCTCCAACTAATAAAAATAAATGAAAAAAAAAAAGAATTTTAAAAAATAAGCTATGAAAGTTTAAGAAGTTTAACATACACATTTTGGAAATCATAAAAAGGCACAAAAAGAAATTCTCATTCGAAAAACTTTCTGAAGAATTGAGCAGGCAACATTTATTGATACTTACAATGTGCCAGATACTGTTATTAAATGCCTTTACACATATGCATTCACATATGCATCATTCACATGTACCTCAGAGATATGGTGCTACTGTCATCCCATTTTACAGAAGAAAAAACCAAAGCACAGAGATGTGAGGTAACCTGCCCAAAGTTAGAGAGTAAATGGCAAATCTAAAACTTAAACCCAAGCAGTCTGGTTCCAAAGTTCATTCTCTTAACTCCTGGATTACACTGCCTCTCAAATTATCCACTTGGTACCATATATTGAATTAGGATGTCTCTCAAATGCATATATCAAAGTCAAGTTTTCCCAAACCAAGGTGCTGGTTTTATATTCTCTTTTGGGTCCTTCTTTTATTTGGATTTGACTTATAAATTCTGAGTAGCTAATGGGTTTATTAGACAGCTTAAACAAAATGCAGATGAAGATGAATACTATGGAAGATGTGAAAAATAAAGAATGAAGAGATAAGAAAGTGATTCTGTCATTTGCTTTCAAAGTCATATTGGGCAAGGTCTTTAATAACTAAATCTGATCTATCACCTTCAAAATACAGGTATTTCTTTCAAGGGTATTGTGAGGATCAAATGAGATCATACACCTGATGCACTATATCAAAGTAAAACAGTATTTTCATGAGGAAAAAAAAAAGCCAGAGTCCACTGTAGCAAAGGCAAGAACTTAAAATTTTAAGTATTATTTTAATCTTCTTTCAGCCAAATTAAAAAAAAAAAACTTGAATACAGAAAATCTATTTTAGCTTTGTCCTTAACCACTCATGTAAAATAACATAGAACACATGGCCAAATCTTGAAAAAATAACCATGAAGCAGACCCATGAAAAACTACTAGGTTTCACTTTTTATCTTTACAGTTCTATCAAATTCTCATGAGAACTTGAATTTTCTTGTGGTTTCATTTTAGAATTTGGTTATGAATGCTGAACAATCTTACATGAACAGAGTAGAGCAATAGTTAAGCATAACTGTCCCCAGAGATTTATTAATCAACTAATATCAAAGTCATTGACTCAGAATTAGAAAATATCTAGAAGGAGATATCAATTTTGAAGTTGGTTATGAATGCTGTACAATCTTATACGAAGAGCACAGAGCAACAATTAAGCATAACTGTACCCAGTGATTAATGAATTATATCAACATCACTGACTCACTTAGAAAATATCTAGGAGGTAACAATTTTGAAACACTTATAAAATTGCTAAAGTCTCTGTAAATATAAAGTACAGTGATACATAACATTTTAATAGTGCTTAATACTTGCTGTTCAGTCACTAAGTCATGTCCGACTCTTTGCGACCCCATGGACTGCATTTAATAAACAATCTTCCTGTAAAGGCAAGGTACAACTTAACCGGAAAGAATATGAAAGGTAAAAGCAACACTACTGAATGTCAGGGGAATGTGTTTTCAGGTTTCAACACTGTTAAAGTAATGCCTCATGAATTTGCATTAATAAAAGAAACCTCTCTGGTTACATTAACAAGGGAAAAGTCTACATTCTACCTACATGTTTTTCCTTCCCAAACTTTAAATCATTTACTGCTGTTGAACTGAGCATGCAATCATGAAGGTCATAATTCACGAGTACTGAAAAGAAAATGTGCCCTCACTCCCACCAATAAAGGAGGAAAAAAAAGAAATTAAGACACTTCAGAATTATTGAAGCAAGTATTCTGACTTAGTATCTAAATTCATGATTTCACTATACTGCAAAAAATTAACTGTTACATAATAAAGTTATATCTAATAAAATTAAATCATTTATTCAACCAATTTTTATTAAATGCCAAAAAAATAATAGGCTATATTACCTCAATGAGAATATCTCAAAGTACAAAGCATTTCGAGTATAAAGTAACAGCACTGAAAATAATAAAAAATAACACTTGGCAAGAAGTAAAACTATTAATTCTAGACTGGAAAATACTACTAGATGATATTTTAAATGTGCAAATATTAATTTTAACTCTTCAGATCAATTACTTAACCAAAATGCATTTAAAAATAAGATTTTTGTACTTAGCAAGTACAAAAAGCTTACAAATTCACAGTTATTAGAATTCACCCAACCCTAGGATCTATTTTATTGCTGGCTAACAACCGTAAATCCTCAGGGGCTTGTAACTAATACATATCAGCATAGCTAACAGCAGAAAGGAACAGCTGAGACTCAACAGGTCTCATTCAGTCATGCCTTCATTCATCCATTACAGTGTTTTTAAGAGAACACGAGAGGTTTTATTACTTTTTTTTAATTGATTAAATAAATTTTTAAGTATAGACTTCAATGAGTACAGACTAACACTTCACAACCCCTAAGCACCATGCCATCTCCCAAATTAACCAGAATGACCAAGAGCATTTACAATTCATAGACTGAAAACACAGGGTATTTCACGTTTTTAAAAACCATCATTAAAGACAGTGGATAAAGGCTTAAAGTAGTTTAACTACATGAGTCTTAAATACTCACTAGCTTGGCACCTAGATTTCTAGCATTATCATGCCTAAGAGAAACCTTACTGAGAAAAACAACCATCTGTGATTTATTCCTATGATAGAGAAAAACTTCAAAACATCTACTGGATAATGACTGGCAGAAAGAAACTTCTGGAAACTGGCCATTTTAATTGTAAAATACCCTCTTAGAAGTAAGGAGACTAACATTAGGCCAAGTAGGGACTCTGCATTAATCCAATTCCTCCTGTCTTTGCTCAGTGAGGCACTTAAATCCTCACTTACAGAGACTCTTCAAATTGAAGCTATCCTAAGGCATGAGTGACTTACTAAGTGCCGTATGCCAACTGTTTTCTACACTGTGATTAAGATTCTCACATCCTCCAAATAATTACATATAATTAGACAGTTCCTGTGATAAAATAACTGCTCCCAGGTTAAGGTCAATTTACATTTAGTAAATAGCCTCCTCTAATAACCAACCATAGGTTAACAGCTCTGTATTAACACGAGCTAAGTTTCTAGGAAAAGGCCACAAAGCTGTGGTCTCAACACTGTATCCTGATTCAAAATTTTCTTCTGTGACTTTAATCATGAACAAAAACAGGTCTGCTTATCTAATCTAAATGTGAAATCTAGTCTAAATGTGAACAGTGGATAAGTATAATTAATAATATATATATCACTGAGATTTCCCTGGCAGGCCAGTGGTTAGGACTCTGCTTTGGGCACTCAATGCCGTGGGCCACCATTTCAATCCCTGGTGCTAGAACTAAGATGACAGAAGCCATGTGGCATGGAAATATATATACATACACATACACACACACACACACACCATCAATTATCATTAGGCTAACATAATATGCCAAAAGTACCTAAAGTTTAAGAGTTAAGTCTGTATCAGGAATAAAAAATTATGTCTCTAGTTCAAAGTGAAGAACTGGCTTGGCAGCATGCCATTTGAAAAATTTGTCTTTAGGTATAACAAAAAGTCAAAAGACTGCAGCTATAAAAACTGTAGGCCACAGGCAGAAAAGAAAGCATCAAAAACAAACATCCAAAGTGTCTGAAAATCAGGCAGCAAACTGAGGGAACCAGACATACTGAGCCTGGAGAAGATCGAAGGGAAACACCTTGGCAGTCTGCAAATATTCTGAGACATCATGGTGTAAAAGAAGAGACATGTCCCATGCCAATGCTTCTCAAACTATCTGTCGTAAAGGAATAATTTTCTTCCCAGTCACTGCACAGCTATAAAATATAATGACAATATCACGGCAATGAAAAATTGCTATCAAAATGTCTAAAGGTATTGTCTCAGTTTCTCTAAATTCACTGGGAACAGGTAAACAGTTCATGGAACCCCACTCAAGAGTAGCTTTATTCTGTCTGTACCAGAAAAAAAAAACAAGTAAATCAAAGGGAACCATTATATGGAGAGTTAAATTTCAGCTTAAATTCCCAGCAAACAGGCTAGGAATAGGTGTGTCCAACAGTGAAATGGCTCAGAGCACTAAGTTCAAGAAGTTTTCAGAATAATTTATGTTAGATAATCTATTAAATGGATTGCATTTTGCACTGGAAGGATGACTAGATTAAATCATTATAGACTCTAAGACCCTAAAAGCTTCTGTGAGGCCAATCAAAAACAGAAAATGATACTTAGAGCTGAGCACTATCTCATATATAAGGCATGTACATATAAGGCATGTACATATCATGTATGTAATCCACATTTTTCATATTTTAATATTTCAGAAATCAAAATGTATCTTATAATCAATGATGACTTTCAGTTTTACTTGACCAGATGACATAATTGCATTAACTGCATTTAACTGTTATTCCTGGTGACTTAACAAGAAAATTGCACCCTCCATATTTCAGTGTACACAATGTTTAGAACCATTTGAGGAAGAAATACAAATCCCACTTGTTGACCAAAAATGATCCAGTGACATACTTATGGGAAGATCAAAAAAGCACCAGCATCAAAACTCGTATTTTGGAAGAAAATTCCAGGGAAAATAATAAAAGCTCTTGAAAGCACAGAGGATGACATAATGCAAACAAAAATAAGAGTCCATGATTCTGAATCAATAAATGATTCAGAAGAGCTGTATCTGGATGTGAAGAAGTCTATTAAATATCTTAACCAATTTAGTTTTATATTTTATTTCATATGTAGGGAAGCTTATGTTTTAAAATATTTAAAGACTCTTTCAACAAGTATAAATAAAAATTAGAAATTATGAAAAAAAAAAAAAAACAGAAAATGTAGAAACGATACATGTATACGTATGGCTGAGTCTCTTTGCTGTCCACCTGAAACTATCAAAACACAGTTAATCAGCTATACTCCAACACAAAATAAAAGTTTAACTAAAAAAAAAAAAACTTAGAAAGTAGCCCCCCCCCACAAAAAAAAAGCATACTTTCAAAATAACCTGTGACATATTAGATAAAACATATATGAAAAGGAAAAAGACTATAAAAATGACTATGTAAATTGTAAATAAGAAGGCTAATATATGTGAAAATTATTAATAGAGAACCACTACTTTCTTTTTTAACCCATTACTGACTACAGAAGTACATTCTGAAGTTGCCTCTTCAAAGTTTAAAACAGTCCTTGATAGTCAAAAGCACAAAATGAGGGCTTCCTTTTGAAGAACATTAAGGAGCACCACTGCCACCTTAGACGCTCACCTGAGTGAGCTTCAGCCACAGGTTTCTCCATACAGCCTCTGCTCCTATCTTATCCCTTACCTAAGTGAGCAACTGGTATACACTACTGCAGTCTTTTGTGGCTAAGTTAAGCACCTTCTAGAGGTAACTACGCAAACCAGTCCTCCCCAACTCCTGGTTTAAAAGAGTAAATGTTCTCCCCACACAGGAACTTTAAAATAGGTGCAAAGTATTCAGCCAAAGCCTACCGCTTGTTGCCTCCTTTCTGCACACCCTCAGCCCTGCTCCACATACACACCTCCATACTGACCTAATATCCACCAACTGCATCAACTTCTAGCCTTTTGATGCCTTCTAGGTGCAGATGATACACAGTCTACAGTATCTTATAATCAAGGGTGGCCTAAATTAGGGATCTTCACCACAGGCAAAAACATTCCTCTAGAATTTTGAATGGATGTCCCCAGGAGAAAGACTCCTGTAAATGCACTTTACATAATTGCATTTAAAGAATTTTTTCACAGCTACTTCGGTACACTATTTTTCAAACTTCTGATCTAAGATATCACTAATGTATGACCTATTCTCTTGAAAAGAGGGAGTATCAATGGTGATGTCAATAAACTAAAATACAAAACAAAAGCAAACCTGCTATAGAAAAGAAACTGAAACACACAAAAAAATAATAGCAGGTAAGTTAAAGTGATACAAAAAGAAAACTTATCCCTCAACGTTAAGGAGATTTTTAAATCACAGTAAAAATCCACAATGTAGAACTCATCATATACTTGCCCAATTTCTTTTTTTTAAATCAGAAACAAAATCTATCAAAGACTCACATTTAAACATGAGTACTTAAGACTATTATTACCCTGTGAAATTTTCCTGGAATGTTAAGAAATCACCTGCAATAAGCCCTTTTCCACAAGTTCTTTCAGTGGCATGAAGACTTTACATTTTTTAAAGTATGAGCTCCAAAATAAATTCTCAATTCTGAGAAACATTTGAAAATCACCTGTTTTGTCTCTCAGTATTCTGTAGCTCCCTGTGGTCCCTTTTCAGATGTTTGGTCAAAGACGTAAAGTATTCTTTTAAAAGATTCTGGAAAGGTTGCTGTTTCTCTGGACTAATTATCTCACTAGGAGGAAAACTCAAATTAAACTTCTCTGCAGCACTCTTTACTTTCCTTGGTACAAGTCCAGCAATATCATCTCCACAATGTCGACAAAAACTAATCACCACAGAAACATGAGTATGGGATTCTCGATCAGCATTAATAATATTTTTCAGCTGTTCATAGATTAAGGAAAGACCTTCCTTGTCAGTGAAAATCCCAACTATTGTCAATTCTGCAATGAAACGCAAATCAGTTCTTAACTTGGTAATGTTAGGTGTTTTCTCTTCTTTCCTGGCTTCAAAATGTTTTTTCCAAACTTGAAGAAGTGATGGGGCAAAGTCAGCATAGCGCTGGTGAAAGAGCGAGCACAAGTGCACAGCACAATTCACGTCGGATATTTTTAGCTTTGCTTCCACAATAGAAGCTACAGCCTCTGCAATGTATTTGCTTAAATTTAGGCCATTAAAATCATGGGACAAGGAGTCTCTCTGTTGTTCTGTAATAGTTTTTAGTTTCTTGACAAAAGCGGTATTTTTCTTCAAACTCGAATCTAGTCGGCTAAAGAAATTTTCCTCTGGTCGGTTGTCTGGAGCATTTTGGTTTTTGCTGCGAAGTTCTTTCCTTAACTGATGTCGTTCCCAAGCTTCCTGATGAAGCTGAAGGGATTCCTCTTTCTCTCTATATAAAAAACAAAAAAGTAAGTAAGATACCTTGTATATTTTGAAGCATAACTGATGAATCCCATAAGAGTGAAAGACAATGAAAAAGTAATTAGAAAAGCAACAGAATCCAAGAGGAACAAAAGATGCAAAAGGCCCTTTCATCACTTTAAAGACATCTGATTAATGACAAGATAATGAGAACTCATTCTACTGGTAACACCAAAAGTGGCAGAGTGGAGCATTTTTAATAACTAGATTAAAAATCACTCTGCCAACTGGCAAACTAAATGAATATAACTTTTTACTTGTCAACTGTAACTCAATAAAGCTGAAAAAAATAAATGGATAAAACACAGGATTCTTAGTACAAAATAACAAAGTAATATGTTTGGGAAAATATAAAACCTAAACCAAATAAAAGCACTGGGGAAACAGAAAAAAATCCACAAAAAAATAATTAAAGAACAAAATTACAAAAGAATACATTAAAATGCTTTGAGTTAGGTACCATTTTTCCATACTTCAGCATTAAATAAACCTCTCTTAATAAAAGTATCTTTCTTAATAAAAGTTTAGGCCTTAAAATTCAAGTATAATTAAAAGCTCATTTAGGAACCAGAAAAACAACAGGATAAAAGCACTTTAATAAAAGGTTAGCAGACTTAGTTTATCCTGAGAAGATTTAAAAATAAAGCTACTTATGTTTCCACTAAAAAGATGGGACATGTTTAAACTGCAGAAGTAGTAAAATAACTCGGGCATGAGTGGGAGAATGGGGATAATCTGAGGTTTCTGAGACACCAAAATATGTAACTTTAAAATATAAATTTTTAATAAAACAGATTTTCACCTTTCTAAGATAACCATTCCGGAGTTACTCTATAATTCTACAATTTTTCCACTAATAGCGACAATATGCTAACAAAGAGTTACATCTATCACTGAGAACAGGGACATGAATCTCTTGGAAGCCTCCCAGCCACACAAAAACAAGATTAACAGTGAGAGTACTTGTTAAGAGAGTATAACTCATTACTTACATGCATTCAGTAACTCAAATATCATCTTTATTAAAAATACTTTGATATATAATGTGTATATATACACACACAATGAAAATATTTATACTTACATATTTATTTATTTACAGGTGAAATAATGTGATGCTTTAGAATACTCAAGGGAAAAAAAGGTTAATTGCAGATGCTGGGTAGATGGGAAGGGGTACTAATTTATTCCATTCTATCTTTTACATTCTTGAATTTTTCCAAATAAAAAGTTGGCATTTTGGTTACTATTGTTTTTTTAAGCTCTTTGTTATTGGAAGGGTGAGAGAAAAGTTAACGGTGAAATGCAATATCCTTCCAAACTATTTTAAGTAAAACAGAAAATAAGCAAGAAACTCTCAAGGATCATAGTTCTGAATATTCCAAAACTATTGCTATTGCTTTTCAGACGTAAGACTTCATTTCCTCATTAAAAACAGAGGTACTAAAGAACTTTGGTAAGTAGGTAACTGAGCTGTTCAAGAGATTCATAAAAATTCGTATTTGCAAACAGCTTTTAAATTACATATATGAAGGGAAGAGCCCATGCATTATTGGATGAGGTTTCATGCACTATTCATCAACTGTCATTTCAGCTACATCCTGGTAGTCTTCCTAAGAGGACTACCTCATTTTTCACCAGTTCGTTACGTCACTTGCACAGATTTACAAGGTTACAAATAGATTTTGATAAAGATAAAAAAGGGAAGCATTTTGGAATTGTACTTAAAGACAATGGTTTTAAGGTCAGACTAAGGTAAGGTAAAGGTAAAGTTGCTCAGTCGTGTCCGACTCCTTGCGACCCCATGGAGCCTACTAGGCTCCTGTGTCCATGGGATTTTCCAGGCAAGAGTACTGGAGTGGGTTACCATTTCCTTCTCCAGGGGATCTTCCCCACCCAGGGATCGAACCCAGGTCTTCAGCATTGCAGACAGACGCTTTATACTAGGTTCAAAAATCAGCTGCTCTACTATTTACTGTGACCTTAGGCAAGTCATTTAATCTCTTGAAGCTTCATTTTATTAATCCACAAAACAAGCTTACTTCATTAGGACTGCCTTAAAAACAGGTACTGATACAAATATAGAGTTTGGCATATAAGAAATGCAACAGCAGCCATTAAGAACTGAAGATTTTCGGGAATTCCCTGGCAGTTAGGACTTTCACCACCAGGGCTCAGGTTCAATTCCTGGTCAGGGAACTAAGATCCTGCCAGCCACACAGCATGGCCAAAAAAGAAAGATTTTCAACTTAGAAAGACGACATACTATACCATGAAAAAAAGATTTTCTAAAAAGCACAAACAGCTCAAATTGCCCCACCTCAAAAAAAACTTTTTAAAGGTTACTATTATGTAACTTCAAAAGTTAAAGCACTGTATGCATGACTGTAGCCAGTGAAACTAACAGAACAATTAAGATACTCTCAACTCTCAAGCAACTGCACCTTGCAAATTTTATTTCAAGTAATCATTGTTTTTCCAAAATATTTCAATCTTCCTATTTCTACACATCAATAGTTAGAATAAATGTTCTTACTTCAACTGGGCAGCCTCTTCTTCCTGCTGACGTTTCACCTGTTCTTCTTGCTTCTTTCTCTCCTCTTCTTCATGTTTCTTTTTTTCTTCTTCCTCTTTTTTCTTTAATTCCTCCTCTGCCTTCACCTTTTCTTCTTCTTTTTTCTTGCGTTCCTTGTCTTCTTTTTTTCTTTTATCTTCTTCCAGTTTCTTCTTCTTATCTTCAGGGACCTTAATAACCTCCTTCTTGGCGGTAAGCTTGATCTCCTCTTTTGGTTTCTCCCTGCTGCTCACTGGCCGCCTCTCACTGCAGTCTTTCTCCTTGCTGTTTAGTAAAGATTCTTTTTCTTCCATACTTGCTGGCTTTTTACGCTCAGCTGGCATTATGTTACCCAAGACAATCTGTAAAAGAATGTCAGCATTATAATCGCAGGGACTTTTTTTTTTTAGTAATGTGACACTTATTTTAAGTGGAACATATTAATGCAACTTGGCAACTGTGAGAGATTAAATAAAATGCATACAAAACAAACACTATTTCAGTGATAAAATAATTCACTGATCATACTCCATATTCTATCATTATTAGTTATGCTTATGTTTAAGCACTTTTTTTCTTTTTACTTTTTAGTCAGGAAATAGTCTCTACAAGAAGTAGAGAGCACAATATAAGGAACATCCATGTACCCATTACATCCAACCACTATCAACTTCACAGTTAATATTAAATGACATATCATTTAATCATAAATACTTCAGTACTATGTGAGAACATTTTCAACCAGTTTCACCCACCATACTTCACAACCATTAAGAAATGCTGGTGACACTACCTCATACAATATTCAAGTATTTAAGTGGGAGAATAAACAAGCTCTCACCTCCTATGAAGCAACTAGTAAAATTGACAAGACTAATAAATTTCATCTCACTGCTCTAACTGTATCAAACTTTCAAACACAAAAACTGCTAACTATCCCAAACTAGACTATACCTTTCATCTCTTTATTAGTAGTCAAAATTAGTCTATAAACATAATGATTACTATAAATAATACATAAATTAAATATTCTGTTCTATATTTGCCAATACAAAAGCCACCAGCCCAGGGTTTTCCAGCCTCAAGAGTACTGACATTGTGGGCAAGAGTTCTCTGGTAGGAGGAGGGAGGCTACCGTAAATGGAGCATCCCTGCCTTCTACACAGTAGATGCCAGTAGTATTGCCCCAATTTTAAAAAACAAAAATTACTCGGACATCACCAAATTTCCCCTGGGGGCAAAATCACTACCAGCTGAAAACCACCACAATAGCCACACGTGGCTACTTACACTGTAAATTAATTAAACAGAATCTGAAATTCAGCTCTCCATCACTATCCATAATCCAAGTGCTCAACTCCACATGCCGCTAGTGGGTACAACCTCAGACAGTGCAGATATAGAGCATTTTCATCATTATAGAAAGTTCTGTTGGAGAGCACTGGTCTACAGTACAGGCTTCAAACAGTTTACTGGAAATAAACTCTGGAACAAAAAATGTATTCTCCAGCAAAATTCATGATTTTCTTTTCTAAAAATACATGTCTACTTAGAGCTTAGTGTTCTCATGTCATTTCTTTTATGGACAATACTTCATGTTTTAACTCCTAAATCATTTGAAAGTTGTACACAAGAAAATCAAAATACTTTCCATTTAAGAAGTATAGAATTACTTAAACTACCTAGGGTTTTTTTTATTTTAAGCTAAACACGGTACTCAAGTATTTTCAATATATGGTTTAAATTACATCAATAAAAACTATATTAGCAAATAAAACATTTGCAGTAATAAATATTTTATAAACACAAAGCATTTATTTCAGCCCTCTAATAAAATATTACCAGAGAAAGACAGTCTAAGCCAACTGAAGCACTTTCAGTGATTTTTGGAGGCACATGGCATAGTCTGTATCTTATCTCAGCCACCTTTTCTTCCCCTTTTCTGTTTTACTCTTATTCTCCTCCGATTCCATGTTCTATGCATTTTTTTGGACAATGACACCCCAAGGCTTCAGATAACCCTACTTGTGGAACTTGAACAAAAAAGGGCTATTAATCCTGTTTAAACAATCATTAAAATATATAAGAGCATAACTACTTATTTATGTGGGAAGACAGTGTTAATATTTATATTACCTGGAAAATGTAGTATCAACTTCTCTTGCAGTTTCAAATAAATACCCACCACTGCCCTAAACTGAATGACTGCCCTAAGGCAAGCAAACTTTCAAGAGCGAATACTAATAGCTACTAGATACTTCTCACAAAGTAAACATTTTACATACATTATCTCATTTAATAATAAAATCTTCAGGAGATAAGTATTATTTTCCCTATTTAATAAATGAGTAAAAAGAGACCTGACCAAGTAACTTGACCAAGGCTTCCACAGCTAGTGACAGAGCTTAATCAAAGTTATTAAGAATCCTGATCAGGATTCTTGTCAGGAAAACCTGACAAGAGATACTGACTACACAAATCAGAATTACATATCTCAGAGTAGAAAGAGTCCCTGATAATGGTTAAGCAGTTTTTACATTATGTTTTAACTTTTGGCATATTCTAGCTAAAAGATATGGGGACAGGTAATTCCTAGGTAATCAGATAAACTTACTTAGGGATATCTGCAATTATATGCAAAAAATAATAAGTTTTATAAAGAATTTGTACTTTCTGATGTGAAGCAGCAACAAGCAACACTTCAGCTAATACGGGAAAGAACAGTTCTCAGAATATAAAAAAGAATGGTACCAAAATTTATTTCATTTATGAAGACAAAAATTAGACATTAAGTTCTGTTAAAACATTAAGAAACATACTTGGAATCTGACAAATTTATAAAGGATCATCATTTATCAGCACAACAGTCCCCCAAACTTTTGTGACTTTCCACAGTACTCATATATTCAACAGACTTTTAAATGCCTTTTATATCAAACTGCAGCAGTCTTTCATGAATTAGATTCTGCTCTAGAGCATGGCAAAACAGATTCTCAACAAGTCCCTCAAGTCTTGGCAGTGGTACCTTCTTTGAACCATTTCATCCTTATACTACAAACATATACTCAAAGTACACCTGGAACTAAATTTAAGTGAACAAAAATATGATGAAAATTTTAAGGTTCATGTTAAGGTAGCAATGCACCATGAGAAAATAATATGAGCTTTAAAGTCAGTCAGACTTTTCTAAGTTTGCAAACTCTACAACCTGCTAACTATGGAAACAGGGCAATGTAACTTCTCTGAGTCCATTCATCAATAAGATGGAGATACTGCTACCTCTCTTACAGACTTCTTAAACTTCTGTAAGTCTAGAAGAGAGCATGAGAGAGCCATTCGACAAATGCTTATTCTCTTTCACAGAGAAAACTGAAGAGTTAAGCCTAAAATAAGAATTTTTTAGAGTTAGGAGTACTAGATTTTAACTACTCCAATTCTCAATTTTTACACTGAGTGAACTGCCCAAGATTACACAACTAGCTTAGTGACTGGGTTGAGACTCTGGGTCCAGTGTTCTTTCCCCCTATATATCCTAAGACTTAAAAAGTCAAGTAGGGACTTCCCTGGTGATCCAGCAGCTATGACTCTGGGGGCTAGGGTCGGATTCCTGGTCAGGGAACTAGATCCCACATGTTGCAACTGAAGACCCCACATGGTGCAGCTAAAGATCCTGCATGTCCCAACTAAGACCCGGTACAATCAAATAAATATTTTTTAAAAGCCAAGTAAAAAATACAAGCTACAGAATTCAGATTAAGTATGATCTGTATCACATCAAATTTCAAATATGAAAATTATATTGTGAAATGCTAATTTTAGCATTTCACATTTTAATAAACTCATGCTTTAATATTTTACCTCAAGTCTTTCAAATAAAAACTAGAATTTTTAAATACAGTCTGTAAGATAAAAATTAGTGACCTTTTTAATTGGAATATGATTAGCTCCTACAAACCAGTATAATTACATTCACACAGTCCTTAAAAGGAAGCCATGCTTTAAAACCACGTTTCTAGCTCCCAAAATAGTGTCCTGGCCCTTGGGCTGTATATTTTATTTGGTTTTCTAAATATACTCTGAACTTCCAGGAGAAAGTAAAACTACTTTACTAGTAAAACAGGTACTTCCGACGGTCTGCTGGGAGAGTGCAGAGAAAGGGGTGTTTCCCTTTAAAGCGATTTCTCCGTAAAGTATCATATGGATTATGTATGAAATCACAATGAGACTGCTCTGAAAATGCTCCAGAGTGAAAGAATGATATTTAATCTTTTCATTCTGGGTTATTCATTTAAAATGTTCTAAGGGCAGAACAGCACAAGGGCATTACCTCCCAGTCTCTGACTTTAAAGAACGTCCTCAGTATAAAGGACTCATTCAAAGTTTTTACAAATTCCACCAGAATTCAAAAATGGTCTTCTTGATGAGTCGTACAGTTCTTCTAAACACTTAATAACTCTGCTAAAGGGGAAAAGTGAGGGAGAGTTTTCCTCAGGTCTGATGCATCACTGCGTGCAAGTCCTAAAAGAGCAAGAGAGCCGACGGTCCGATCCAGACTGTCCCCTCAAGCTTATAAGCTGGCTCTGCTCCGCCAACCAAACACCCCGCGATCGCCTCTTTAGTTCAACAGGAGGACCGGGAAGCCCGGGATGAAGGCAAAGGGAAGAATCCTCAGCCCATGGGACGAAAAAGAAGTCCACCCAGGAATGCCTGCCCACCACTCTCTGATCCAGCGAACCCCGTCCCCTGCACCCTCTTCTCCCACAACCCCCTGCTCTCGCTCCACACGCCTCAGCTCCGCTCGCTTCCTCGCCACAACTCCCCTTCCCACCGGGGTCCACGGTCACCTTCGCGGACCGTCCCTGCCCCAGCCCTAACTTCGCACCCCACACTCTCTCACCGCCGGAGCCCGACACGCTCCGGCTGGTCTCCCGGCTCCACATCCTCCCACACACACCCTCCCCATTTCCTCGCCCTCGCTTCCCTCCCGGCTCCCAAAGAGCTCTCCCCAGCCTCCACTCTCGCTCTCCTCCACACCCCCAAACCTCTTCACCCCGCCACGGCGGGCTCCCCGCCTCCGGCCCCGAGGCCCACCCCGGGCATATGGGGCAGGCACCCCCTCGACAGCCTCTCCTGCCTCCCTCCCGCGTTGAAGGGAGCCTCCTCAGGAGAGGGGTCTGAGGAGAACGACGCCGGACCCGCGGTCCGTCTCCTGCTCGCCGTCCCCGGAGCGCTGGGGTGCCGAGTCGCCTCACCGGTCCCCGGGGGAGTAGGAGTCCAGGCCGGTGCCCCCCCCAACCCCGCTCCCTCCTGTTCGTTGGAGCGGAGGGGAAGGAGGTTCCCCGGG